TTTGAATCCCATCCCAAAACAGTTAATATCCAAGGAAAATTCGAGTTACAGGAGCCAATCAGAACGCACGAGAATTGCTATCCACTGATTTGGTGAATACTAATTTTGGTTAAGTTTATGAGGCAAGATCTGTGAAGAGTTTACACATTTTGGTGATGCAGTTCCTCGAGACAACTTTACCCAGGTACTAGGACCTGCAACGGAACCTGATTCACACTGTTTCCTAACCCTAATCACTAAACATCAGAGTCATTTGGCATTAAGCGGCCCTTCAGCATTCTCTAAAATACCTCTGTGATCGCTATATGTGTATTAAAAGAATCCATAAGCAAACGAATGGCTAACGTTTTTTTAAGCACTTCTTCCCATATTATTTTTTTTTCCAAATTAACCTGCAATCTAGGGACAGCTCTGGTAAGCAGACCATGACAGAGGCCTTGTGGGTGTCTGATAATTTCAGGTGGCCGGTACAAAACACAGGTCACATGTCAGATTATAAATACAGGTTAGAGTACAGGTCACCATGAAACACCTCGTGAAGTTGTTATTAAAAGGGCAGCAATAAGAATGAAGGGAAACAAGCCAATACATAAAAAATGTGGTTAAAAAAATACATTTTCATTGACCTCTTTTGAAACGCAAAGCTCTTCTTGTGACTAAATAAGGGTTTCAGGTCATTTAATTTATTCTCCAAAGAGCCTCCTGGATATGAATAACTAAAGACGATTTTCTTTTGTCAGCGAATGTGATGATTTAATCCTGTAAAGTTTTGTCATGCTGGGTCCAGCTCGTTAGTGTTTTTTTTGCAGTATGTTAAATTCTGTTGGTTTGTGATCTCAGATCCAAATTTTGAAGAATGGATTGCACCTTAAACTGAAGTTACATCAACTATGGAGAACTGCATTGTGACTCCGTTGAGATTGCTGATTAAGCAATGATTGATTGGTAATAACTTTTGAATTGCCACTGTTTTGTTATTACCCTTTCTAATCAGGCAAGACCATGGTTTTGGCTCTCCATGCGAACTTCATCAGTTGCCGGGTTAGCTTTGTTCTTAGATGCTTTTACAAGAGCAACTCTAGTTGTCTGCGCCATGGCGAGAACAGTGATCTGTTCTGCCTGGCAGAACTTTGACCTTGTACAGCCTGCATTGATCGTTTGCATTCATTGAGATTTCAACATATTAATGCTATCCACACACACCAAAATACAAAAAAATAATTTTGGTTTCACACATGCATCCCCTAAAGTTCATTTCTGCTCCACAGAAGGCCAAACATTATTTTTATTGGTCAATTTTAACAGCTGATGACAGCATCAAATGTCGGAGTGCAAACTCAAGCATGACAGGCCAAGTGGGTGGTTTTCAAAATCCTGGGTTTTTTTTGTCTGCAAGAGATTCCTTCCTTTCTTCCCCACCCCCTCCCCGCTCCCTTACTTGTGCCATTTTTTGTGCGGTCTTTAATTTACTCTTGTTCCTCATTCTTTGCTCTTAAACCACATGGAAACACTCGTGTGCCACGTAACCAAATATTAATTAGGCAAGGAAAATTATTAATTTAAAGCATTTTGCCAGTGAAAAACTGCCAGTATAAATGCTGTCTGAAGCTGGTGGAGCTGTATTTATCAAGGATTCAAAGATATGTACAAAGAAACTAAGCAGAGTTTTGATGGTTAAAGCCCTACATTAACTCATTTCATCACATGTGAAGCATATATTATGGCCAACAGCCGATAAGTTTGTCGTAAACTGCTGCAAAGTCTCTAATTGTTTAAGCCTTGTAGGGTTGCATTCCCTACACTTGCATGAGGAGAATTGGTTGCAATTAACCAGCTGTAAACATTCTAAACGATCATTTTTTTCACAGAGGAAGTATCACATAATCAACTTTGCACAAGCGCAGTGCATGCACTCCAGCAAATGTTCCTCTACTGACTGAGCTTGTATCCCTAGAGAGTCGGCAGATTTTTAAAAACAAGTGTTTTAAATTACTGCAGATCTTTTCAGGAAGTAAACGTATCAGCCTTTCATTTCACCCAGTGGAAGTTATGTTGCTTAGAAACCTTAATTCAGCCCGACATCACAATCAATGGCGTCACTGCAACTACATGTACCATCCAAAGCTGACTCGTGTTTCTGCCTTACTAGATGATCCATGCACATAAATTTCACAACTGACACAAAGGTCGACAACATAAATATAAACTCTCTCCATGAAGAATCAAAATCCGAAATAGAGTTTTAGCTTATTTCAGTCATATATTTCAATTAATTATCAACAGAGCACTTGCGATCATGACCTGTGACCTGTGACGTGTATCCTGTACCTGACAAAATTAATTTCATGTTTGACCTTAATATGTACTAGATCTCCTGGATTTACTTGATCGATGATTTAAGCCACAAGCTTAATCCTTTAATTACCATTACCAATATTACTTGCTTATGAGACCATTGTTTACTACGAAAGAATCTTAAATTTAAGCTTAAGTTAAGTTAAGCTACATGTAATCAAACACAAGCTTACCTCTTAAGACCCGTGCCAGATTTTTCACTTCTGCCATGCCACGTGCGAGAATTTTTAGATGATGAATAAAGCCAAGTGTTGACGAGTAAGTAAAAGAACTGTTGAAGCTCAAATCCGAGTTCCAGAAGTCTAATTATGTTACTTTAGATCCAATTTACCACACACGTGTTCTTTCTGGTCAATAATCTGTCGCCATATTGGTCTCGTCTAGAACCCAGTCTCTTGGCGCGTGCGTCTCGCGCGCGGGCTTTCGCAGTGCTCGTTTCGCGTTTCTCGAGTGCTCGTAAAACGCGCTCAATAGGAAGTCAGGAAAATAAACATTTTCATGCTTATTACTTGTTCATGAACTTTCGTGAGTTATGAGTGAGATAAATAGTAAATATTTCTTCTAACAGTAACGAGTACTTCAACTGTGTAATGAAACCAGAACATGAGGAATGTGAGTGCTGAAACCCACTGTGAGCTTATGAACGCAAAATATGGTTCGCGCATGCCCAGGAATCGAAGCACGATGTCAAATGTGAAAGTAATCCACAACCCTTCAATTGCGAGCCTTGGAGTAAAATAGGCAGGCTCTTGAAATGGAAACTATTCAAGGAGTCAGAGTCCGCGGTTCATTGGTCAGACGGCTATTTTTTGAGGGAAAAGCCCTGGGGACGAGGTTGGGCTATATGCTCCTGATCATGCTGATTGGTTTGTCGCTGTGCACTTGCTGATATTTCATATTTTGATGATCCCTAATAAGGACGCCCCTGGGTGATTTGGTACTGGCCAGGCCGTGGGTTGGTGTACCTCCCAACCTCGTCCCCAGGGCGTGCTAATTGCTGTTAATGGGGTGGTTCCATCGAAATAATTGCGCCATCACGTGTGAAACCCGCGCGCAATTTTGATGAGGGCGCCGCGCAAAGAATAAACAAACAAAATGGTATTGGAAATCACCTTCATGGGATGTGAATAAATTCCATTTTCTGTCGTTATTTTCAGGAGAACCTTAAGCCGAGAGCCACGTTTTTGAGCGGCGCACGTCAACCGGAAGAAGACTTTTCGCACAGCTGAGCCATGATTTTGAACAAATTTTTGGGGCAAATCGTCTCTTTAAGAGTAAAAACACTTAACAATAAAAATTTGGTGGTGCCAAGGCATATTTAAAAGAAAAAAAGGCTTACTTCTGGTTGAAAAGAGTCGCTCAAAAACGTCGCGGGTTGCTTAAACTCCCTATTGACTTCGAAGGTGAGGACTGTGACTGGGACTCAGATTATGATAATCACCGGAGTGAGATTGTTATTAAGCTGATTTAGCAACAGAATGGGAACGTCAGTTGACGACGGAGCGCGCAAATCAAACAACAAGCTTGACCAATGGCAGAGCGGCAAATTGGGCACCGGAAGTCGAGTTTAGTCCTTTCCGCGCGCTTTCCCGTCGTCAAATGACGTTCCCGTTCAGTTGCTAAATAAGCCTACTGTTTTTTATTGGTATGAAGGACACAAGGGCGTGATTTTTGAATAAAAATTAACGGAAAAAAAGTGACGTTCATCCCTAAGGTTTGACAACCAGGTGTAAAAAGAGTACAAAGTGACACATTGAATTAGGACAATTCCCCGGCCCTATGTGGTCTCATGAGGTCAAGATGTAAAAAGGCCGAGTTTCCATAATACGCTTGTTATAATATGTTTGCGCATCTCTTTTTCCTAGTCGTTACTTCCTGAAAAACATTGAAGGGTTTTTCTATGGTCGTAAACCATTTTGATTGGTTATTCCACCCTAGTCAAACATAAGCAAGCACTGCAAGTGGACAAAACGTTTTGGTGAAGCTTTATAACCTGCGCATAAATCAGACTTATTAATTATCTTGTCAATGAAAAGTCAGTATAGGCAGGCATACCACGTTCCAAGAACATAGCGATATTTAATAACAACAAAAAAACACTAACGATGTTTTTATGCCTTGAAAGGAGGAAAAACGTTCACAACTATCATATGAATCAATCCTAATTTACAGGCACAATAGTAAAAAGAACGTTTAGATAGAAAAATACCCCTGAATCTGCATGAGTTGTTGATTGGCTGCTGCAGTTTAGCTTAAGCCTCTGTACCTAGCTAAACGTGCAGTAAAAAATGGGCCAAAAGACAGGTTTTTTGCGCCCGATAAGATGGAAAAATCACACCAGCGAAGGAAAAGGAGAGGAAAAAAAGAGAGAGGAAGGAGAAACTTTTTATATTGGCTACTTTAGTTTTTGGCACACCCTGACTCAAGATTCCCAGCAGCGCCCCCAGATATGGCCGGGTATGTCGATATCGGCACACTGGAAACAAGATCAATACAAAAATTTACCTTTCAAAGTTTTCTTTATTAGTTCGCACCTTAAAAAAACAACGGTGACGCACGGAGTCGTTTAACTACGGCATACGCTAGAATCTCTGCTTTGGGCCTTTCTTTAACTTAACAGTTGCTACAATAGCAAGACCACAAGCTTAGAATTCGGTAACAGGGCGTTTCTTTATCCACTCCGATATTTCGGGCACGTTTAACACCCGTTTATAATGCTCCACCAAGAGCGGGAACTTCTCAAGTTCTCCAGGAACATCTTCTTTACCCCTCGAAAGAAAGTTGTTCAAGAAGTCAAAGAAAGTGATGTCGGCATAGCAAAGCTGCGGATAAGAAACAGAAAGAAATCGCAGTTAATCTAGAGGCGTACGATTGGGTAACCTTTCTTCTGTGGGTGGTGATAAGCCTCAGACAATGTTTTAGGCTATATTCATACTGTATAGCTGGAAAGCTTTGCTTTTCATGGCCACTTAAAAATCTATCCAGTATGGTATGAGCAGCAACGCCTCGCATCGGCACAAGTCGTTCACACACATCGAACATCGCGCCTGCGTAGTTGACCGAAAGGTTTCGTTTACTTCCGTCTCAGTGGGTCCCAGGCCTCGCTCCTACCTATTTTGTTCCCCCAACGGGCAGAATATATAAAGGAATTCACACTGCACCAATTATGGCGCAAAACCTCTCCGATATGTGACGCTCCACTTTCGAGATCAGCGCGGCCCAGCTTAATTCACTCCGTCAGAATCGCACTGCCACAGTCTCGTACCCAAGCCAGTTCGCGCTATCCGAGGTGACGTCACATCGGAAATCGCTGAGGACGACTGGGAACAAGGCTGGCACTGCCACAACCGTTCTTGTGTGTGAAGGTGTGTGGACAGACGCCCTGTCCGCTGTGATTTTAGAGGCGGCGCAAAAGCTTTCCTGTTTAATGTAAACATTGTTATACTCGTTAGTCTTTTAAGCAAGCCTAATCCACTTGCCACGCTTTGCGCATTCCTCTTATCTCACCTTTTCGCCCAGAAAGAAGCCCTTGCCTTCATCCCTGCTTTTTAGAAGAACTTCAAATTTCTCGAGTCGGGCAGCCAGCGTCGTCCCATAAAACTCCTTCTTTATCTCATCCTTTATTATAAAGGCAAAATATATATATATAAATAACTAACACTAAGTTATGGGAAATAGAATTTGGAGTAAAACCTACGGGATTGTACACGGAGCAGAACTGAGAAGTATACGTCAAATCCCGTTACGGACAAATTGGCAATGAGACGACTCTGCTTACCGCCCGGCGCGGGGAGATGGGGGGGGGGGGTACTCCCTATAATGGCCTATACGGGGAGGATCCGCCCGAAATGGGTACCTTCTTTAGGTTTCGGGTATATGAAAGGTGGGGATTTCATTATAATTAGTTGAAGAATCTGGTAGGCTGGGTAGGGTAGGGAAGACTGCCATTTCTGTCTGTGAAAGGGTCCAACAGATATAACACATACAATTCATGGCTTTGATGAAAACGAGAAAACTTTTGGTTTTGTGATTTATTCATATTTCAAAGACAATGCATTTACAGCAGTTAAAAATGGTATATGAACGGGTAAGGGATTGGACAATGCAAAGAAGCAAGCAGATAATTCGAAAGGTAAGGCCTTTCTTCTTCAAGAGGCTTTACAAATGACTAAGGGTTTGGACCCCGGGGCGGAGCCCACCGGCATAATCTCTCCCTGGGAGTTACGGCAACCTTTAGCAAATAAAACTCCGTATGAAATGATCGTCTACAAGAGCCATTCCTGTAAGTGGCCGGCTTCAGTGACAACAAGAGGGAATAATCTCTAAAAATGCTAAAAGTCCGCAAAAAACGAAAAGTTTCATTCTTACCTCTCAAGTGTTATAGCAGTAGAAAGATATCATTTTTGTGAAAGCGTTTATTGATCTATGTGTTGATTGACAACTTGAAAACCAATTTGAGGCGTTTCCTTAGAAAAGAACATTAAATGAAGTGGCAAGTACCCCATGGTACATGGCATGTGTTCATGTTCCTTCTTTATAATTTTTCACACCATACAAATGCTATTAATTGAATCAATTTTAGCCAGGTATTTTGCTTCAATTCTCAATGTCAAAAAATAAAGAATTGCCTGTCGTTAAGGGTCGGAATGGGCGTCTTGAGTAAGTCTAGACTGCATGGGGCACTACGAGCCCACGCGCTTTGCGCCTTGCACAACCAATTTTAAGAAAAAGACCGACTATTTTGTAGTCTAGAGTAAAGCCTGACAAACTCTGAGGGGAACGGACACGGACATCAACTCTAGCATTACCTTCTTCGTTTCGTCTTTCTCATAGTATATCTTGCTAAATCGCTGAAGTAAATCAGTAACTCCATCACTGATCATATCCGCTGTCGCTTCATTAAAACTGTCAGCTGGGCACAAACCTAATTATCAAAGTAAGTATTTTAATTAATACTTAAAAAAAGCTAAGCCATCATACACCTTCTAAACTCTTCTTCTTGAAAAATAAAGGAGAAACAAGAGGGAAAAGAAAGGAAGAAAAGATGAAAAGTAGAAAAAAAGACACACAGACAAGGAGTATGAAAAAAAGAAAAGAGGGGGACAGAAAGAAAAAAGAAAAATGGGAGAACGGACGAATCGACGAATCGACGACGGAACGAATGAGCACACGCACGGACGGACGGATGGATGGATGGATGAATGAGTGAGTGAGTGAGACACACAGACAAGGAATAAGAAAAAAAAGAAGAGAGAGAAAGAAAGAAAAAAGGTAGATGAACGAATCAACGAAGGAACGAACGCACATAGGCACGGCCAGACGGACGGATGGATGAATGAATGACTGAGTGAATGAATAAATGAATGAAGAGAAAAAAAATTAAGAAAGACAGACCGACAGATCACCGAGATAGGCTCTTTAGTATATCGGCAGGTAGCCTCCTATGCAGACGTTCTAAGGGCGTGACGAAGCTCCTTAGAATGTCTGCGTTGCGGCTAATTCGTATAAGTGATCACAGGAAACTCCTGAACTCCTGATCCGAACTTTTCGGGGAGTCGTGATGCATGTTACGCGCGACATATGATCTCATACATTTACATAACGTAACGTCTGCTCTTATCGTGATTCACACAAGTGACCGCCGGGAGAAGGCTTAAAAAAAAGTTTGCATCTTTTGATCCCAAATGTTAATGTAAAGTATTGTATTAGTGTGGGGTGTCAGTTTCAAGCGACTCAAATCGCCACAAAAAAAGCAGAGAACGACACTGAAAACATATGGCAGGGGCAACCAACGACTGTTTTCTGTAAAATATCTGTTCGGAGAAGCAAATATTGCCTAAAATTTTGTATTCCTTGAGGACCGCTAAAAATTTTTACGTGACTGTTCCATTCGTGTACAATTTTCGAAGCTTCCTAACAAATTCCCTACGATTTATTGAAGTTTACTTTTTCACATTTCACTCGCCAGGTTTGGTTATTTTTCGTAGAAAAAGGAAACCTAAAATTTTCGGATTCAAAAATGCGATGAAGAGAGGAATTAGAAAAATCGTCACTTTCGTAAAACGTTAAATTACATCTAAAATTTTCTGGAAAGTAATACTGAAGCCCTAATAATTTCGAAAAATCTTAGGTTGCCCTAGGATGACTGAACCGATACAAATTTTATAGTGCCGCTGAGAATGCATTTCTAGAGATCTAAAAGTACTCTGCAGGATAGCCTAAAAAGTGTTCTCAGGGTACTTAGGAGGAAACCGTCGTCGGGTGCCCCTGATATGGTAAGTAATCTTTTTTCAACTATCTTACCTCATTTAACATTTGGGATCACAAGGTGCAAACGTCTGTTTTGTATGAAGCATTTCTCCCGATCACTTGAATCAAGCCAAGAGGGGGGTTACGAAATAGATCCCCGGAGACCCACGGGCAGATAGTACCTCAAACAGTTCGGATTATCCGCCTGTGGAGTGATATGCTGATTAACAAATTACGTTCAATACATCACCTCCTTTTTTGCAGATGTACTTCATAATTGTACTAGACTGTGCCAGGATTTTTCCTTCAGGAGTCGTGCAATGAATGGCATTTGACCAAGAGGTGGTCTACCAGCTGAAACAGAAAGGTAGTAATACGTCGGGGTTTCTTCTAAGGAGAGGCCAATAGCCGCCTCGGTTCTGATTATGCTAAATCCAAGGGGGGGGAATTCAATGAAGTCGTATATGGAGAGGCTTCACCCCAAGGCCCAACACCTCATTCTTACATAAACTGTTTTTGACTGAGAATTACCCCTTTTAATTGATAAATGGTAACCCCGCATCTATTTCAAACTGCTGTTGATGCACCATCTGTTTATATGTAAATAAATTACTAAACCAAGAAGTTTTTTTTTTGTTTCACAGCCATAAAATGCGTCTGTTAGACCTTAAGGTCCTTTTACAGGCCAAAATGGCAGATTTGCCTAACCTTTCATGTACTTTAACTAGTAATGAAACCCCTGCCCTTTCATATACCTAAAAGCTGAAAAAGGGACCCGCTTTGGGTGAACATTTAACTAGTTATAACCTTAGACAGCCTGAAATTCATCCGATTGCTTCGAGTCGTTTTCTCCTCTCAACAACTGAGGGAGTAATAACGACTCGAAGTAATCGGATGAAATTCAGACTAAACCTTAGAGAGAATGAATACAATCTCGCTGTTCCACAACCCCGCACTGAATTTTATAAAATAAGTCTTTCTTACAGCGGAAGTGTGTTATGGAACAGCTTGCCTCTGGAGTCTGAAGGTGCGGAAATTGACATCCCCTTATTTATTTAAGGAAAAATTAAGGGACCTTAATTTCGATTGTCAAATAATTTAATCACCGATATGCTGTTTTTACACACGACCCCCTTGAAAAGCAGGTGTTTTCTTTTCATCTTTATTATTTTAGTTTTTATCTTAGATTATAGATTAGTTAGGTAGTTAGTTCTCTATACTTGAATGTAAATGTACCTGAAGGAAATACCGTGTATAAATAAAGTTACTATACCATACCTACCTCACTGTATAGGACATTATAACGAGTTCCTCTTTCCTGGGTGCTAATATTTCAAATAGGGTAGGTCATAGCGCATAACACGCAAGCTAGCAGCGAGGTAGTTAATCGGTTTTTATTCCCCTAGAAGCAAAATGTGGCGAAAATTTTGCGACCAGCCTGACCGCGTCCTAAACTCGAATTTCTTGAACGCTCTCTTTTTTCATCGTTCGTTGAGCGAAACGCAAAAATGACCACGCGCTTGACGGACCCTTGTTTGTCGCGTTCGCGTTCGCGCGCGCGTGCGTGCGCTAACCTGACCAAAAGCCATATGGGCTTCGTCGAAGTCATGTAGCAGCTGCTCGGAAGAGAAGTCACCAATGGTGAGTTTCCCTGACCCCAAATAATAGTAAAACAATTGGCAGAATTGCATATCAATGTTTCCTGCGACCAATTAGCAGAGGAAAGACCTTCTGAGCAACTCCTACACTACTCGCTTTACGCGTTCTCTACGAACGCGCCCGCTTCGCGAGGAGGGAACGCGTTGAACGCCCGGGGGAGGGGTACTCCTTATTTCAAGTGACGAAGATGAACGAAGGATTTTTTGGCACTGAATTTTCCATTCCGGAAATTTTTGGTTAGGAAAATTTGGCAAGTAGTTTTTGGCTTGATTCTAATAGGGATTATTTGGGATATTCAAAACTATCTGAATTTGTCATTCTGCTTTTATGTTATTGCTGAAACAGAGGATGTTCTTGGATGTCTCGGGTGCATGTTGTTAAGAAAATTCAAATTCTGATATTTTATTTTTCGTGTTATTGTTCGGCATGGGATTTTTTGAGGTTAATTTTTAGTCCAGGGATTTTTTTTTAGGGGGGGGGGTTGTCGGAAGCCCTAGGGATTTTTTTAGAGGGGGTTTGATTTTTGTCCCCATTCGATCATGGTCGTCCCTTGAAATTTCTATTTCTTGGAAGACCTTTTAAAAACATGACTGTCGTTTCCCTGCTATATTCTGATCAGTTCAGTTCAAATTGCAAGTTGAAATTATTTACAAAGCTAGGCTCGTTCTAGGAAAACAAGTAATTGTCCCTGTTTCCTGCCACAGAAGCTATAAGTATTAAAATTACTCGATTACAGTAGCTCGTCGATTTTAAAATATTCCGAATGTAACTCTTCTTATTTCTCAAGTAGTTTGAGGCCTGGGACTAAGGGGTTTACCAGTGAAAAATGAATTATTGTTAATAACTTCGGCATAGATGATGTCGTTTAATATAAATTTGGCACATGTAAAGAACTCATCGTCCTTAATATTTTAAAGTATACATATTGTATTAACAAGTCACGTGATATGTCTCGTGACCGTTTTTCTAAAAACAGTAAATTATTGACCAATTGGTCAGCCGGTTTAAGAAAATAAATCGAACAATAACATTTTTTAAAAATTCATATTAAGTATTTCTAACACTTCACGTTTCGAATGACCATCCATTGCACTTCAATAAAAGATTTATGAGAAAAAACATCTCATTTAATCTTGATTTAAAACTTCAATTTTAAACTTCGAGTACATTCACTCCCAAACAAGAAAGTTAGGTTCAGCAATGCCACTTTGTTTATCCTAACAAAGTAAATTCGCCATGAAATGAAATGATATTTTTATGTACTTTAGTTGTTTTTGATCCCTCTCATTGTCTTCACAACATATTTTAAGTATTTTTGACCATGCAACTTTAAAAAATTATATCTCTGCTGTTATTTACAGTTCCATATCAAGCTATACCTCATTGGAAAGGGCAAAAATTAAACTTTCAGAAAAAAAATATTTCGGTCTCAGGGAAACCATAATATTCTGCACAAAAAAAATAAACAAGGCATATTTCTAGATAATTATTTTTAAAAAAATTTAATAGTGTAGTTTTGCCAGAAAAGTTGTATATTTTATGTAATACAGTACAAATAAGTTTTTTTCTTCAATATCTAAGTAAAACAGCCCGAATATCGGTCGAAAATATAAAGCGACAAACAATTTTCTACAAATTTATTTTGTGACCCTATCGGATTATGCAAATGAGGTCAGAGCTAATTAGCATAGCGAAACTAGATACTATAGCGTCACTTTGTGGCCCGATAAATACCTTCGAAAGACGCTTTATTTTTTAGTTTCTCGGTGAAATATCGGGTTAAAAACAAGCAAACATAAATTCACTGATATAAGTCATCAAAATAAGCAAGGCTTTGAAGGCAAAAAGCTCCGCGGGACGGATTTCACTGCGTTTCAACAGAATTTGTGCCAGACTATGGCCTACACGGCGAATTTGAAGCAAAGATTCTTACTGTTTTATTACCTCTATTTTCGCGTTTATTTCGCTTGTTATCCACCAGAATCCTCTAAAATAATTTGCTTGACTTGTATTTGGTCGAAATTCGTCGATAAAAGCTTTCATTCTTCGCAAAAGCCGCGACAAAATTCTTCCCGACGGAAGCGCCATTTTCACTAGATTTGAAAAAATCGTTGCGTGAAGCTCAAAACTCCCCAGGGCCTGGAACTTGGCACATAATTGGCTAAATCTATTGACTTCCTGTGGGCCAAATTTGGAGGCAATCGGAAGTAACACAATTTTTTGCGAGTGTTGGTCGCGTCATCGACCAAAAGTGGTCGAAATCTTTGACCTGGGAAGAGAATGAGTTAAACTGCGAATAAATTTGATGTGCGGAAGAGATAAAGGAGGGTTTCCCTGTATTTGCTAATTCTTTTTATGTAATGAGGAAGTAGACTGCTTTTATATAGACCATGTACTGTACGTGCTGAAAGCTGGCCTAATGTCCTAAATGTGCCTTCAGAACTGTTTTTTGAAACCTCTCGTGCAATGAAGAATTTAGAAACCTACAATTCTCGGGAGTTACTTTTGGTAAATCTTTTTGGAGGTGTGCCGCCAGAACGGACCAGAAGAAAGTAAGTGTCTTTTTCCAACCGGCCGTTTTCATACCTGGCCTCTAAAATCCATCCCCGTTTTCAGACCAAGCAAACAAGGGTCACAAACGCGACATAAATGGGCAGGAATGAAATTCATTTCATCATTACTTTGATCAGAACGCCCTCAAAAAGGTTTCTTCAAACCATTTCAAATTCCCCATATTACTCTTTCTTTGCCTTGCATTAGCGAGTAGCGACATTATAGTTTGATATGACTTTTATAGCAGATGCTTTTTCACTTCGTCCTCTTCATAGTATGGAAATGGAGAAATGGTTCTCACAAATCAATAGCATCTTCTTCATGGATCATATCAGCTAAATTTGTTTAAACTGACATCTCATTTAACTGAAACCCAAGTCCGCTGTCCTTCACCCATGTAAGCCTAACAAATTACGTCGAATCCCGCTTTACGGACACTAGAAAGCGAGCGGCAAGCCTTCTTTCCTCAGAGCTTCGTGCTGCGAGTGAAAAAGCAAACTTCACTAAGATGCCATAAAACCTAGAGCAGAGTGGAAATGTTGTGTCGCAAGAAAAAGAGAGATTTATTGGAACAGACAGTCAAATAGTAGTACAATGGAACAGCTTTGAGCTTAATTCGACTCCATAAACGCAAATTACCTTGAACAATGGTGAACTAAACTGTTCTACTGCATAAAGAATTTGCAATCCCAACATTACATACATATGTACATGACTGAATGTAGCATATTATTTTTTCGAGATAATGAATTTCGTGTTTTTGTCCGAAGACTTTTCGTTTTGCGTAAAATTTAGCTGTCTCGTAAGCAAACAGACCCCCCTAAACTTCTTTATAAAAAAGTTTAGCCCCCCCTCCAGACAATCTGAAATAGTCTTGACCCCCTTTAATGTTTCCCTCCCCCCCCCTCCCTCTACATCAATAATGACCGGTCTCTAAGCTTACCTGTAAGATATTTGAAGCCAACGTGGTCGCACACAGCGTAAACATGGTCAACATTCCAGCAGTTTACAGCTATATTTGCCGTTAAGTTTGTCCAAAAATATGCCACAGAACGAGGAATGAAACTTTTCCAAGGGTAGCACCTTTAGAATGGTCAATTTCCCCTAGTGCACTGATGTGTACCTGCAAGGGTCATGGGTAGTCTTGACCACAAATTGTAGCAATTTCCCCCATTTCTGGTTGATGATCATGGCTTCCATTGCACTGCATTGGTTTCTCGTTCCCAGAATCCTCGCGGCACTAGTTTTCCCGGGAAAAAATTAAACGGTTCTCAATACGTGCAAAGCGAGTGAAAGTGGTAAAGAAGATGGCGACTTCCTCATTGACTAAAACAATGAATAGACGAAGTAAGATGGCAGTTTGTTTGTTTTTGTACAAAGAAGATAAATCAGGTTTTTTTTCCGAAATTAACATTTTAATCATTTTACAATTTTTCCGTTCATCGAACTACAAATCGATCAACAGGAAAGTAGCCTTACTGTATATAAAAGTTCGCTCGTGTCAAAGAGAAGACTTGGGAAGTTTTTCCTTTTCCAATCCTAATTTACAGGCTCGATGGTGAAAAGAACGTAAAAAAATACCCCTGAATCTGCATCAGTTGTTAATTGGCCGCTGCAGTTTAGCTTAAGCCTCTGTTTGGGTGTAGAATCCTTCACGTTCAGATCGTATATCTAGCTGATTTTTTGAAAACGAACCTAACGAAACTTGCAGTAAAAAACGGGCCAAAAGACAGGCTTTTAATTTTACGCTCGATAAGCTGAGAAATCACGGCAGCAAACGAAAAGGAGAGGAAAAATGGAAAGAGCGAGGAGAAGAGAAAGGGCAATGGTAGCATTTTAAGATTTACATTGGCTACTTTAGTTTTTGGCAGACCCTGACTTAAGTTTCCCTGCGGTGTCCCCAACTATAGCCGGGTATATCGGCACATTGAACACAAGATCAATACAAAAATATACCTTTTCTTTATTCGTTTGCACCTTAAAAGAAACAACGGTGACGCACGGAGCTGTTTGACTACAGCACACGCTAGAAGTGCTTTGGGCCTTTCTCTCGAATAACAGTTGCTACAATAGCAAGACCACAAGCTTAGAATTCGGTTACAGGGCGTTTCTTTACCCACTCATTTATTTCGGGCACGTTCAACACCCGTTTATAATGCTCCACCGGAGAACTTCTCAAGTTCTCCAGGAACATCCTCTTTACCCTTCGCATGGAAGCTGTTAAAGAAGTCAAAGAAAAGGATGTCGGCATAGCTCAGCTGCAGATAAGAAGCAGAAAGAAATCGCAGTTACTCTAGGGGTGTAGGATTAGGGTAACCTTTCTTCTACGGGTGTAATAAGCCTCAGGCAATAGATGCAGTTTCACAAATCATGCTAAAAGGCATTTCCCACGTTAACAAAGCCGTGGTAAATTTAACGTGGGTTTAGTTGAGTTCCCATTAAGGTAATTAAGCCGCTTTCAGTTTACGGCTTCATTAGCGCAATTACGGTAATAACCACCGTCGACAATGGCAGTATTTTATTTCATGTTGAAAAATTACGTATAATTTTATAGCTGAAATTTTAACTGGTACATAGTTCGATTTTACAGTTCAGCTGCATCCAACGGTTCGATACCGGATACCAGGGATAGAACATATTTTGGGGAAATATCGTTTCTAAATCTATCCCAACAAACCAGTTCAAAATTTTGCCTCAAAAGTCCCCTGTTTCTTTCATCTAAACAGTGCGAAAGAAACCCGTTTAAAAAAGCAATTTTGGAGGGTTTCATGTTGAAGAAATCTGAAAGAAATCTGAAATCGAAAAACCTTTGCGTTTTACCAAGTTTAATGTCATAAGCGGTTTCTTTGCTATTTTTGACGTAACCATGGATATTTCCCATGGTAAATTTATCTCGGGAATGTCCGGTCACACGCGCTGAGGCAATTTCCTACGGTAAAAGGGTTATTTACCATGGTAAATAAAAAGTGCCCCGCGTAAACGCACACACTAGGGCCATTTATACGAGGAAAAATAAGACGCCTCTTACATAAGACGCGAACTGTACCGTTTATACGAGCAGGTCTTATCTAAGACGAAAACAGCTCGTATAAATATGGTTCGCGTCTTATTTCTGTTCTTGACTCGTTTTCATGTGAATGTTGCCCGTAGCAACGGCAATCCAACATTTGTCCTCGAGATCTGCTATTGCCCTCTCCTTGCATAACAACAAAAAATCATTTTCTTCAGCGGTGGACCAAGTGTTTCGTTTGCCTTTGTCGGCGCGCTCATTATACATGAGCGAAGAAACAAATAAAGCTTAAAAGTCTTAGAATCGATGGCAACCCAAGGAAACGAAAACGCGTTGTAATTTGTAAATAATTTTTCCCTGCCAGTAGCCTGCCAGTTGGCCGCGGGGCGAGCGAAAATTTTCCCGCCAAAAACTAACGCACGCGTACTATACGTTTGCGTCTTGTGTAAGACGCGAAGGTCATTTACATGAAGTTTTTCTAAGAACAGGTGTTAAGGGCTGCTCTAAAAATAAGACGCGTCTTAGCAGAGTTGTTGCCGTGACTATTCACTGAACCTATTAGTTTCTTGACGTTTTTGTTTTCGTCACCGTCATAGCATCTTAAACTCTTAAAATCGCTGATGAAACGCCTGACGCGCACCAAATTTACACAAACGATTCAGTAACAGAAGGAAAGACGTCACGCTAGGAAGTCATGCTGCTCAGTACCATGCAAAATGTGCTGACGTTGCTGTATTTTAAAATATTTAGAAAAGACTTTCTTTGGGACCGGGTGAAGGCTCAGGGAGCGGTCATCGTTTTAGCCTGCAGATACAGGCGTCCCTTCTCGCTTCTCATTCGCCGCTTGGGACGTCCCTAGTGGCGAGAACAAGGAGAGACGCCTGAAGTCGAAGGCTATCATCGTTTTATTTATGACTTAATTTCTATACTCGTTGGTGTTTTAAGCAGGCCTTATCCCCTTGGCACGCTTTGTGCATTCTTCTGATCTTACCTTTTCGCCCAGAAAGAAGCCTTTGCCTTCATCCCTGTTTTTGAGAAGAGCTTCAAATTTCTCGAGTCGGGCAGGAAGCGTCGTTCCATAAAACTCCTTTCTTATCTCCTCCTTTATTTTTAAGGCAAAACAAATCATAGATCACTAATACTAAGTTCTGGGAAATAGAATTTGGAGTAAGACCTACGGGATTGTAAGCGCTGGAAGGAAAGGCCTAGAGAAAGGGTGAAAACGGAGAGTGAGACTAGGGACAGTCTCACCACACACGCTCTAGGAGCGTGGAAGGTCCACGCGCGTCGCTCGAAAATAGAGAGTTTAAGCAACTTACTTCACCGGAAGTAAGTCCTTTTCCTTTTTAATATGCCTCGATGCTACCAAATTTGTATTGCTCAGTGTCTTTATTCTGATAGAGACGATCTACTAGAAATTTTGTTAAAAGTCACGAACCAGCATTCCAAAAAGTCAAGGGGGGGCACGATTCCAATAGCGCCTGGTACTTGGTACTTGTTTCGTATACCTATGATCCACCGATTTATGACATCACATTCGATTGCAAAGTTGCTGCTCTGTTTTGGCGAGAACCAACATTGCAAAAAGTTCACTTCCGATTAACGTGCGTAGCTCACTAGACTTCGTTGCTCAAACTCCCTAATATCGCGCAAAGTGCTTTGGAAACCGATATTAGGAAAAAAACCGACTGATTTGCAGTCTCCAATGAATAAAGCCTGACAGACACTGTAAGGAACTGAAGCGGACATCAAATTTCGCAATACCTTCTTCGTTTCGTCTTTCTCATTGTATATGTTGATCAATGGCAGAGTTAAATCACCGACTTGATCAGTTATCATATCCGCTGTCGCTTCATCAAACCTGTTAGCTGGGCACAAACCTAATCACCATAAATAAAAATTAAAAACTGTTAAAGAAAATCTAGCATACGCCTTCTTAACTAATAAAAAGTAAGAAGGAAAAAAGAAAGAAAGAAAGGAAAAGAAGGAATAGTAAGAAAGAGAGAATGAAAAGGAGAAAAAAAGGACACAGAGACAAGGAATAAGAGAAAAAAAGAAAAGAAAAGAAAAGATAAAAAGAAAGAAAGACAGAAAAAAAAGAGGGAATGGGAAAAATGATGAACGAACGAACGAACGAACGAACAGACGGACAGTTTGATGGATGGATGGATGGATGGATGGGTGAACGAATGAATGAATCGAATGGGAGAAAAAAAAACTTGAAAATAAACTTTTATAAACTATATCTACAGGTAGCCTCCTACGCAGACGCTCTTATGGCCTCGCTTTCCGTTTGGGAAAAGAACGCGTAACAAAGCTCCAAAAAACGTCTGCGTGGGAGGCTAATGAGCAGGCTTCGGTTGTTCAAAGGCTGGAGAGCGCTATCCACCTGATAATCTAGTGGATAGTGCAATTAGTTTCCCCAATACGTATCCGCTGGATAGTGATTTATCCGTTGGATAGCGCTAGCCGGCGAGTGTACTGTCGCACTTTGTAATAATCGTCGCACTTTGTAATACCTGTCGCACTTTGTAATAAAATTGTCACACTTTGTAATACCTGTCGCACTTTGTAATAACACTTGTCGCACTTCGTAATAAAAAAGCTGTTGCACTTTGTAATAACAGACCATCGCACTTTGTAATAAAAAAAGCTGCCGCACTTTGTAATAACACTTGTCGCACTTTGTAATAAACTTGAAATAGATGGTAAAAACTTGCAAGAGCTGACGTGACAGGCCGCACATCTTCACCGACGTGATACCTTTGAAAACCTTTTACATATTACTCCATTGAGGAGAACTCTTTCAGGGATCTTACTGTTTAAAATTTGAACCATGATATAGCTTATATATAGCGGACCAAGATACGGCTCGGTACAGTTTATGTTCAGCAAGGGAAAATTGTGTAAGTTGAGCAGAATGTACAACAGACAATTTGTTCAGTTTGCGCGTATTCCTGTTGAATTTGTGGCCCGTTTATGAGATTTGTCCACTCAAAAATACGTGAGAAAATGCAACGGGGTGACAGGCCGCACATCTATACCGGCGTGAAACCTTGTGTAAACCTTTTATATTTTAGCTCTAACGAGCATGTCCTTTAGGGATTTTCCTTTCTTGTAGGAAATGATAGGTGGTTCCTTGAAAATTTGGCGAAGTAACGGTTGGTTTTGTATAAGATTCCAGTTTTTCATTCTTTTAAAGTAGACGCTCAGGGCTGGTAGAGTGCAGACTCCCTCTCGGTGAACTTTATGTCTAATAGAAGGTTTTCTATAATAGTTTGTGGGTAGCCTCTGTCAATCAAGCGTTTTTTGAAATTTGAAATATTTTCCTCAAACGTAGTTTTTGGGAGTTTGTTCGTAGCATTCTCAAGGCTTCTCCTTTGAAAAATCCTTTTTTAAGACTCGGCGGGTGACAAGAGGTGAAATGTGTGTACTGGAAGGTTTCCGTTTTTTTAAAATGTGTCTTTACAACAAGGATAGATTTTTCCTTGAATCTTTTGCCTTTGTATACGACCGTGTCTAAAAACACAGTCTCAGTGTCAGATATTTCGGCCCTGAATTTGATAGTTGGGTGATGTTTGATGTAAGTTCGCTTGGTCGATGAAGGCGTCGATGCCTGACTGATGTCCCATAGGGAAAGGATATCGTCAATGTAGCGTTTCCAAACTGTAGGCTTAAAAACGGTTCTGCTTAGAACTGTTGTTTCAATATGGGCGATAACAATATTGGCAAAAGAAACTGCTGTCTTTGTACCCATTGCAGTGCCATGGGTTTGTAGGTAGTGTTTTCCATTGAACCGGAAAGAATTTTCTTTGAGGATTAGTCTAAGCATTTCCCGCAGGTAATGTGTAGGAATAGAAGGATTGTCTTTGTAGAAGTTCACTTCATATGCTTTGCAGACAATTTCAATGCCCTCGTTTTGTGGTATATTTGTGTAAAGACTACTATTACGGGTTGTTCTCTGAGTTTGTGATTTTCATTTGGTTTTATGAAATAAAGTTTAGCTTATTCATGGTAATAGATACAAATCAAGTAATATCTCTGTTTATGTCTCAAGTAATACCTCGCACGTAACGAAATTATAGGTTTTCTAGTTGCCTGTGCTAGTAGTAAAACCTTAAAAATATTTTGCTTATGTGATCAGGTTTCGCCTGAAGGACACCTTTAATTACTTTTACTAACAATTAAATGAAATTCCAATACGAACTCCCATTTTAAATGACTCTCCCTGTCATAGGCGTAGACACTTTCTCTCTATCGAGGTCGTCCGCATATAAAGAGTTGTACTTCCCTAGAAAGATCTTGAAGCCAGAAGTTGATGTGATCGAACACTTATTATTATTATTGTCGTTGTTGTTGTTGTCGATGATGACGCTTATTACTGGGTTTACTTGTCCTCCGACCATCTATTTCAAGTTTATTACAAAGTGCGACAAGTGTTATTACAAAGTGCGACAGCTTTTTTTATTACAAAGTGTGATGGTCTGTTATTACAAAGTGCGACAGCTTTTTTATTACGAAGTGCGACAAGTGTTATTACAAAGTACGACAGGTATTACAAAGTGCGACGATTATTACAAAGTGCGACAGTACAGCGAGCCAGCTCTCCTTTTGGGGTAGTCGCGAAAAGTCACGCGAGAACTGCACACTAAAGGAGACGCGCGCGAGGGGTGGGCCGCTCGCTCACGCGAAAAGGAGAGTTTGCTCGCAGGCTACGGCAGGAACGATATGCTGATTAACAAATTACGTTCAATACATCACCTCCTATTTTGCAGATGTACTTCATAACTGCAACAGACTGTCCCAGGGTTTTTCCTTCAGGAGTCACAATGAATGGCATTTGACCGAAAGGTGATCTACCAGCTGAAACAGAAAAGTAGTAGTACGTAGGGGTCTCTTCTTAGGAGAAGTTAGTGGCCGCCTTTGTTATGCTAAATCTTAGGGGAAGGGGAGGGAAAGGGGGGGGCATTCAGTGAAGTCTTATACGGGGGGGGGCTCCAATCTGAGGTCCAACACCTCATCCATTCATGAACTATTTTTGGCAGAAAAGGTATTCCTTTCAATTGATAAATGGTACCCCTACATCTTTTGCGAACTGCTGTAAATGCACCATTTGTTTATATGTGAATATGTCACTAAACCAGGAAGTCTTTTTGTCTCTTTCATAGAGTACCAATATTAACCACAAAGGACTGTAAAGGAACGCGCCCAAAATTCGAATTTGCTGATTTTTGTTTTTAGTTTTGGCATATATAGGATAGCCGCCAAAGGCCAAAATCAGTAGGAGGTATGATTGTATGATTTCGAAAAACCCCCTCCTTCAATTAGTTAGTAAGAATCCAACTTAGCGGAATAATCTGTTAATTAACAGGTGTAATGTAATTGTGTGAACTGCTGTATTATTCTTTCTCGTTTTTATGTACTTTTGGTCCAATCTGTAATACTGTTATATACTTTCTTTTAGTTTTAACATTTGTAACTGTAACATGTGTTTTGTAAATAAACGACTATTAAAAAAAAAAAGAAAAAAAAAATGGAGAGCCGCATCAGAGTTTCACGATCATTTGGCCAAACCTAGACAACAAGCAATCTCTTTTTTTTCCTCTTCCGTCGAGCGTAACGCCAAAATGACCACGCACTTGACGGACCCTTGTTTGTTGCGTTCGCGTTCGACGCTTGCGCGTGCGTGCGCTTCCCTCACCGTGCCAAACTTATAGGGCTTCGTCACCAGTTCCTTCGCTACAAAAGCGCCCACATCGAGGAAGGAAAGCGTTGAACGTTCGGGCGGGGAGGAGGGGGGTACTCCTGATTTTAAGTGGCGGGGGTGATCGAAGGAATTTTTGGGGGGTTGAGATTTTTGATTCTGGGATTTTTTGAGAAAGCCAATTTGGCATGGGCTCCTGAAATTAGCAAGTAGTTTTTTGGGTGGCTTGATTTAAGTATGGATTTTAAGGGGTGTTCAAAACTATCTGAAGTTGTTTTTCTGTACAATATGTCACTGTTAAAACAGAAGATGTTCTTGGTTCTTGGAGGGGTTAAGTTTTGGGTCCAGGGATTTTTGAGGGTTTTGTTGGAAGCCCTACGGATTTCTTTGAGTTTTAATTTTTGCCGCCATTCGATCATCGCCGTCACTTGAAAATGTAATTTCTTGGAGGGCCTATTGAGAACAAAATTGGCGTTTCCGCGTTATATTCTGATCGTTCAGTTCATGCGATGAGAATACAATCAGAAGGTTCAAAGTTACAATACCAACCGGGTAAAGTATTAAAAAACCGGGAGAATATTTGAATTGTAATTTGAAATTATTTTACATACAAAGCCAGGCTCCTTCCCGGAAAACGAGTAACTTTCCCGCCACAGAAACTATAAGAAATGTAGATTACAGGAGCTCGTCGATTTAAAAAATGTATCTCTTATTACTTAAAGACCAACTTCCTTTCGTAGCAGTCTACGAAACCTAAAAAACGTAGGGTTAATAATAATAATAATAATAATAATAATAATAATAACAATAATAACAATAAAACCAATGATTCCACTTGTGGTCGGCGGAAACCATTAAAAAGAGTGAGCACACTTGTCAGGGCGACTAATATTAATAATAATAAAATCAATGATACCACTTGTGGTCGGCGGAAACCATTAAAAAGAGTGAGCACACTTGTCAGCGTGATTAATAATAATAATAATAAAATCAATGATACCACTTGTGGTCGGCGGAAACCATTAAAAAGAGTGAGCACACTTGTCAGCGTGATTAATAATAATAATAATAAAATCAATGATACCACTTGTGGTCGGCGGAAACCATTAAAAAGAGTGAGCACACTTGTCAGGGCGACTAATATTAATAATAATAAAATCAATGATACCACTTGTGGTCGGCGGAAACCATTAAAAAGAGTGAGCACACTTGTCAGCGTGATTAATAATAATAATAATAAAATCAATGATACCACTTGTGGTCGGCGGAAACCATTAAAAAGAGTGAGCTCACTTGTCAGCGTGATTAATAATGATAATAATAATAATAATAATAATAATAATAATAATAATAATAAAATCAATGATACCACTTGTGGTCGGCGGAAACCATTAAAAAGAGTGAGCACAGTTGTCAGCCTGACTAAGCAAGTTTAGTTCAATCAGTTACCAATCCAGCATTCGCGAAGCGCACATCATTAAAATCTTTAAACCCAATCGAAAATCAAGCGAATGTACGCGTATTTGCCGTCGGCTTTGATCGCATTCCGTTTTAGACAGCTATTTAAGATCATAGAATTAAAAAGAATCGACAGATAACCGTCGCGCGCTTTTTAAGCAATCTGGTGAACGTTTATGTTACTTACACGCTTTCTCTTTTGCCCATTCTTCGTCTGCCAATCGATTGTCCTCGTAGTCAATCTTTGCAGCCGCAAATGCAAGTCGACATTTTTCTCCTCCAACGCGGCCCGGAAAGTAGAACAACTTGTAGCCAGACATTTCTGCAGAATGTTTCAGTCGATTCTTACTGTGAGTGGATGCACAACACAACTGCCGCTGAAGTTCAATGAACTGCTAACTCATTGCTGACCTTTTATATCACCGGTCAAGTGTTAAAATTAGAATTATGTCGTGTCATGTCACGCAACAGGCCAATCGAAGGACTGTATGTGCAGGAAAGTATTTTGCCGTAAATTTTAGTAGAGGAAAGGAGTGAAAAAATATATCAGGATTATAGATTTATCAGCTGAGTTGCCAAAATGTTGAATCAATTTACCGCCACAAACTAATTCAATTCAATTCAATTAAACTTTTGGCCATTTTCATATGAATAGATGGGGTTTACCTCGGTATAAGAACCTGTGAACTTTTCTTTGTTTCGCACCTTTTGTTTTTCTACGCTCTATTGTGTTGACTTCTTTGTTTCCTCTGTTTTACGTCACTTGTGAGTTTAACAGGGTTCTAACACCTAGGATGAGCCAATAGATGACATTGCTGATTACAATACTCCGTCACCCGTAAAAGAAGAGATAATTACATAGCAAATTTCTAGTTATATGATCTACATGATCTATATGATCTACTTCTGCTACATGTTGCCTGTTATTATTAAAAATAGAATTAAAGTAAAAAAGACTCCTGCAAAGACTGATCAAACAATGTGGAAAAGCCTGAGGTATACAATATTTCGACTGGCCAACACCAGTCTTCATCCTGTTCAGTTGGCACCGGAGCCTGCGATACAGTCATGTGACACTGGTCAGCCGATACCCTGTTTTGACAGCTGTCAGTTGTCCTTAATATAGATGTTCATTATCAAGTCAAACACAGATTACAGGCTCCCACACTCTAGAAAGTTTGACATTTCATTTTGGTTTCCCTCTAGTTAGAACGGCTGTACGGTCACGTGATTACCAAAATTTCTCGGATGGATGGCTCCAATAGCGTGCGCAAAGCGCACACGTGTAGCTGCGCTATTAATAGAAAGGTTGTCATATCAGTTCAGATCAGAGAGTGATTCAAATGAGGATATTTGTTGCCTGCAGAATACAACGGATAGTGTCGTTCTTTAAGATAAAGGAAGCCATAAAGAGAGTATGAAGTGTTTCCCGTCTTCCATTTCACTTAGAGAACAATACTTGCATCAGTTATCATACATAAAATGTTCAGGTATTTTGGGCGAGCAGTATCCTCCATATTCTATTATTAGTTCATGACTACTTGTCCTTAATATTGCCGTTGCTTGTCGGTGGTTTGAGTTTAGATACTTTAAGAGATTTCTTATCTGTGTCTTTCTTCAGGAAAAGATAGTTGGATGGCTGATTGATTTAGTTTTACTTTTTATTTGAATGATATTTTTAGTCAGTTATCTCTAATTTACCTATTTGTTGAGTTTAGTCGTTTTTGATCCGTTTTTGTTAAACTGAGAACAAGTTTGATTTGCGGAAGAGATGGAGGAGTGTTTCCCAGTACTTGCTAATTCTTTTGATATAGTCATGAGCAAGTAGACTGTTTTTATTTCAAGACTATAATTACTGTGCGCGCCATTAAAGCAAATATTTTGCCGGAAATTTTACGGAGTGGAAAGGATTACGAATCAAATATTCCGCATGAAAAATATATCAGGCTTACAGTTTTTTCAGCTGAGTTGCCTAGGATATTGAATCAATCTATCGCAAACATCAGAAGCTCGTTTATTTAAACTAAGAAAGTCTTTCTGGAATTGGGAGAATATAGTAGCCTTTCAGGAGGGTCATGTTCCCATTAATCCACTTCAGTTTGTCACTTTTCCCCCCGGGGGGGGGGGGTACTCCCATACATTACCTATACAGGTATGTGCCGCTCAACGGGGTCGTGATTTTGAAGCTCCTGATTTAGAACGGGGTATCCATTTCAGAGGCGTTTTCTAGAACGGGGTATAAAAAATTGTGGATCACGGCTTTATCTTCTGCTTAAAATTGTTGCTGATTATGAAAAAGCATTTATTTGATGTATAAGTCAAACAAGTAAAGAAATATCTTTTTATAAAAAATTGGCCCATTTCTAGAACGGGGTTTCAGTTATAGGGCGAATTCTAGAACGGGGTATAAAAAATTGGCCCATTTCTAGAATGGGGTATAAATTTTAGGGGAATTTCTTTTTAGAACGGGGTGCCAATTTGGAGCCCCGGGCGGCACATACCCACCCAAAAAATACCCAAGTGCCCCCCCCCCAGGCTTTTCCCACCCCATACTTCAGAGTTATACAGTAATAATAGGTTAAAATGGTGTGGTAAAACGTTTGCTGCCTATATCAGTAGATAAGTCAAGAAAGCTTTTTGTTGCAAAAATAATGCGTCTACACTATTTCTACCAAAAGTGAGCGCTAACAGCTCTGCAGGGTTGAACGATCGGGGGAGCCTGTCCGCTTGACACGTTTGGCGGAAACGTTATTTAACTATTACATCAATTAACTTCATTAGCGAGTGATTTTGAAGCTGGCCTAATGTCCTAAATGTACCGTTTAGAATTGCTTTTTGAAACCTCTCTCCTGCACTGAAGAATTTAGAAACCTACAATTCCCGGCGGTTACTTTTGGTAAATCTCTTGGCAGGTGTGCTGCCAGAACGGACCAGAAGGAGTGTCTTTTTCCAACCCTTTTTCAGACCTGTCCTCTAATATCCATCCCCGTTTTTAGAGCAAGCAAACGAGGGTCACAAACACGACATATGATTAAAGCACCCTCAAGGGTTTCTTTAAAACCATTTCAAATTCCATTCAGTTAGTTTCCTCAGTCTTTCTCTCTCTTGCATTAGCGAGCAGCGACACTATAGTGAGATATGACGTTTAGGGCAGATGCTGTGATACTTTACCTTTTTCACTTCGTCCTCTTCATAGTATGGAAATAGAGTACTGGTTCTCACAAATCAATCTTCTGTGAACTATTTTTTCCAATAAGATCTAATTCCATGATGTGGGTTTAAAAAATTACTTACTGCTGTATGCGGAATCAGCGTGTCAAGAAATAAGGCCTCTTGTCTTAAACAGGGTAGCGAAATGAAATGATTTTTGTCTTAAACAGAGTCAGGGTTTGAAGGTCTCGGCGGCACATATAAAAACCTTTACTCAAGTTTCCCTTTGAGTTCCCTTTGAGGCCGGGGTATATCGGCACATTGAACAAATTCGATCAATACAAAAATAAACCTTTTAAGTTTTCTTTATTCCTTTGCACCTAAAACCAACGGTGAAGCATGGAGTCGTTCAACAACGGCACACCCTAAAATCTCTGTTTTAGGCCTTTCTCTCGCTTTACAATTTCTTCAATAGCAACCACAAGCTTAGAATTCGGTTACAGGGCGTTTCTTTACCCACTCATTTATTTCGGGCACGTTTAACACCCGCTTATAATGCTCCACCAAGAGCGGGAACTTCTCAAGTTCCCCAGGAACATCCTCTTTACCCTTCGCATGGAAGCTGTTAAAGAAGTCAAAGAAAGTGATGTCGGCATAGCTCAGCTGCAGATAAGAAACAGAAAAAAATCGCAGTTACGCTAGGAGCGTAGGATTGGGGTAACCTTTCTTCTGAGTGTGTGCTGCAAGCCTCAGGTAATAGATGCGGTTACACAAACCATGGTAAAAGGCATTTCCCACGTTAACGAAGCCGTGAAAAATTTAACGTGGGTTTAGTTTAGTTCCCATTAAGGTAATTAAGCCGCTTTCAGTTTACGGCTTCATTAGCGCAATTACGGTAATAACCGCCGTCGAACAATGGCAGTATTTTATGTTATGTTGAAAATTTACCTATAATTTTATAGCTGAAATTTCAACTGGTATGTTATTTATGATAATTTAGCGAAGCTATATAGTTCGATTTTACAATTCAGCTGCATCCAACGGTTCCATACCAGGAATAGTACATATTTTGGGGAAATATCATTTCTAAATCTATCCCAACAAACCAGTTCAAAATTTTGCCTCTTTCATCTTAACGTGAAATCTGCCATGTCACCATCGATCTTTCTCTCAACAGTGCGAAAGAAACCCGTTTAAAAAAAGCAATTTTGGGGGGTTTCATGTTGAAGAATTCTGATTTGCTGTTTTGCCCTGGGTATCGAAAAACCCTTGCTTTTTACCAAGTTTAATGTTATAAGCGGTTTCTTTGCCATTTTTGACCTAACCATGGATATTTCCCACGGTAAATTTATCTCGGGAAAGTCCGGTCACACGCACCGAGGCAATTTCCCACGATAAAAGGGTCATTTACCACGGTAAATAAAAAGTGTCCAGTGTAAACGCACATACTAGGGCCATTTATACGAGGCAAAATAAGACGTGTCTTACATAAGACGCGAACTGTACCATTTATACGAGCAGGTCTTATCTAAGACGAAAACAGCTCGTATAAATATGGTTCGCGTCTTATTTCTGTTCTTGACTCGTTTTCATGTGAATGTTGCCCGTAGCAACGGCAATCCAACATTTGTCCTCGAGATCTGCTATTGCTCTCTCCTTGCATAACAACAAAAAATCCTTTTCTTCAGCGGTGTACCACGTGTTTCGTTTTGCCTTCGTCAGCGTGCTCATTATACATGAACGAATTTAGAAACGGATAAAGCTTAAAAGGCTTAGAATAGATGGCAACCCAAGGAAACGAAAACGCGTTGAAATATGTAATACTTTTTCCCTGCCAGTAGCCTGCCAGTCCGCCCTGGGACAAGCGAAAATTTTCCCGCCAAAAATTAACGCATACGTACTATGCGTTTGCGTCTTATTTAAGACGCGAAGGTCATTTATACGACGTTTTTCTAAGAACAGGTGTTAAGGGCTGTTTTAAAATAAGACGCGTCTTAGCAGAGTTGTTTCCGTGACTATTCACTGAACCTATTAGTTTTTTGACGTTTTTGTTGTCGTCACTGTCATAGCACTCCCCATTTAAAAAAATCGCTGATCAAACCTCTGACGCGCACCAAATTTACACAGTAACAGAAGGGAAGACGTCACGCTAAGAGGTCATGGTGCTCAGTATCATGCAAAATGTGCCGACGTTGCTATATTTTAAAATTTTTTGAGAAGACTTTCTTTGGGACGGGGTGAAGGCTCAGGGAGCGGTCATCGTTTTAGCCTGCAGATGAAGGCGTCTCTTCTCGCTTCTCGATCACCGCTTGGGACATCCCTAGTGGCAAGAACGATGACAGATGGCTGAATTTGAAGGCTATCATCGTTTTATTTATGACTTAATTACTATAGATCGTTTCTGGAGTTCCAAACCAGTCCTGTGGAAGTTGAACTCTTTTCTTATGTAAAACCTTTCTTTTGTTTTGCTGGCCACGTGAGTGAAAACGCTCTATACTCGTTAGTGTTCTAAGCAGGCCTAATCCCCTTGCTATGCTTAATTTGCGCATTACTGTATCTCACCTTTTCGCCCAGAAAGAAGCCCTTGCCTTCATCCCTGTTTTTGAGAAGAGCTTCAAATTTCTCGAGTCGGGGAGGAAGCGTCGTTCCATAGAACTCTTTTTTCAGCTCTTCCTTCATTTAAGGAAAACAATAAGTAGGTCATCAATGAAACTAAATTCTGGGAAACGGGAAAAAGTTCATTAAACCCACGGGATTGTACACGGAACAAAACTGAGAAGTACATGTCGAAGCTCCCTGTATACGGATGAACTGGCAATGGGAAGACTCCACTTAAGGACAGGGGGGAAACTCCCTATAATGACCTGCTCCGCCCGAAAGGGGTGCTTTTCTCAGGCTTCAGGTTTATGAAAGAGGAGGGATTTCATTAGTTGAAGCATACGGAAGGGTAGAGACGAATGTCATTTTTGGAAGTAAAAAGGTCCAAAAGGGCAAACAGATGAAATTTATGGCTGTAAAAAAAAAACGAGAAAACGTTTTGGTTTTGTGATTTAGCAGTGCCTTTACAGCAGTTAAAAGGGATGCAAAGGTTTTAACTAGGTATGTTAAAGGGGTACGATTTTTCAATATAAGGTATACGAAAGGGGTACCTTTTCCGTCAAAGCTGGTTAAACGCGGGTAAGGGGTTGAACAACGCCACAAGGCGGTTTTTACAGTTGGGAAAAAATTATTGCCAATACTTCGAAAAGCGCGGACTTTTTTCTTAGAATGACTACTTGAAAACAACTTTAAAGCGTTTCCTTAGAACAGAACCAACTAACGAAGTAGTAAGTATACCTCACACTGTCCTGGCTTCAATTTATATGCCTTCGTTATACTTTTTCAGGCCACGCTAATGCAATCATGTGAAACATGTTGTTTTAGACAAGTATTTTACGTCAATCAATTCGTCAATCACGGTACAAAAGGCGGTCCTGATCCCACACAAACGCTCGTTTTTAAAGAAAATCCCGCATCCCGCTATTCTTTTTCCATATCGCTTTCCCGAATTCAAAACAAACAAACAAGGCACACTTTATAGTTTGGTTTGAAAGGTGACAATACTCAAAACGCACAGGCCCGGTTGATTCGCATTTGCAGCTCAAACGTATGATTTCAGGAATTTACAACATACAGGCAAAAACATCCCGCATTCCGTGCTTAAATTTTGGCGAATCCCGCTTCCAGGGTAGCTGTAAAATCCTGTTTCCCGTCAAGATATTTTGCGTTTTCCCGAATCCCGCACCGTATGTTGGTCAATCCCGGATCCCGAAAAAACCCTTAAGACCTTGTTCAATTCTCACCTCAGCAAGTTAAGCATTGTCTGGCGCTGAGAGTCGGAACTGGCGTCTTGAGTAAATCTAGACTGCAAAACAACCCCTATTTCTGCCTAGGTTAAGAACGCGCGCGCACGAGCGGTCAAAGGAAAGGCCTTGAGTGAGGGTGAAAACGTAGAGTGAGACTGGGGACAGTCTCGCCACACACGCCCTGGGAGCGTGCAAGGTCCACGTGCGTCGCTCGAAAATAGAGAGTTTAAGCAACTTACTTCACCGGAAGTAAGTCCTTTTCCCTTTTAATATGCCTCGATGCTACCTAATTTGTATTGCTCAGTGTCTTTATTCTGATAGAGACGATCTGCTAGAAACTTTGTTAAAAATCACGACCCAACATTGGAAAAAGGTCACTTCCGATTGACGTGCGTCGCTCAAAAACGTCGTTGCTCAAACTCCCTAATATCGCGCGAAGCGCTTTGCAAAAACAATGAAAAGAAAAAGACCGACTGATTTGCAATCTCAGGAGTAAAGCCTGACAGGCTCTGTATGTGCGATACTGAAACAGACAGTAACTTTCGCATTACCTTCTTCGTTTCGTCTTTCTCATAGTATATCTTGATCAATTGCTGAATTAAATCGACGACTCCATCACTTATCATATCAGCTGTCGCTTCATCAAAACTGTCAGCTGGGCACAAACCTAATGACCATAAATAAAAATTAAAGCTAATCCAGCATACGCCTTCTTAACTAATAAAAAGTAAGAAGGAAAAAAGAAAGAAACAAAGAAAGAAAGAAAGGAAAAGAAGGAATTGTAGGAAGGAGAGAATGAAAAGGAGAAAAAAAGACACGGAGACAAGGAATAAGAGAAAAAAAGAAAAGAAAAGAAAAGAGAAAAAGAAATAAAGAAAGAAAAGAGAGAATGGAAGAATGATGAAAGAACGAACGAACGAACGGACAGTTTGATGCATGCATGGATGCATGGATGAACGAATGAATGAATCGAATGGGGAGAAAAAACTTGAAAATAAACTTTTATAAACTATATCGACAGGTAGCCTCCTACGCAGAAGCTCTTATGGCCTCGCTTTCCGTTTGGGAAAAGAACGCGCAACGAAGCTCCAAAAAACGTCTGCGTGGGAGGCTAATGAGCAGGCTTCGGTTGTTCAAAGGCTGGAGAGTGCTATCCATCGGATAATCCAGTGAATAGTGCAATTAGTTTCCCCAATACTTATCCGCTGGATAGCGCTATCCAACGTTTGAACAACCGGGGCCAGGAGTAGCCGCTGAGCCAGCTCTCCTTTTGGGGAAGTCGCGAAAAATCACGCGAGAACCGCACGCGAAAGAAGACGCGCGCGGGGGGTGGGCCGCTCGCTCACGCGGTCTCTCGCGACTCGAAAAGGAGAGTTTGCTCGCAGGCTACGGTAGGAACGATATGCTAATTAACAAATTCCGTTCAATACATCACCTCCTTTTTTGCAGATGTACTTCATAATTGTACCAGACTGTGCCAGGATTTTTCCTTCAGGAGTCACAATGAATGGCATTTGACCAAGAGGTGGTCTACCAGCTGAAAAAGAAAAGTAGTAGTACGTAGGGGTTTACTCTAAAGAGAGGTCAATGGCAGCCCTGGTTGTGCTAAATCCCGGGGGAGGCGAGGAGGGGGGGGGGGACATTCAATGAAGTCTTATAAGGGGAGGCACCCCAAGGTCCAACACCTCATCCTTACATAATTATTTTTCACAGAAAAGGCATCCCTTTCAATTGAAAATGGTACCCCTGCATCTTTTGCGAGCTGCTGTAAATGCACCATTTGTTTATAGGCGAATATGTCACTAAACCAGGAAGTTTTCTTGTCTCTTTCACAGCCATAAAATGCGTCTGTTAGACCTTAAGGTCCTTTTACAGACCGAAATGACAGATTTCCCAACTTTTTCAAATACCTGAAACCTGACAAGGTACCCCTTTCGGGCGGAGCCTCCCTGTCTAGGCCATTATAGTGAGTTCCTGCCCTGGGTGCTTAATTCGCTGAACATAAAACGAGAAGTCCTAAAACGACTGCAAAGCTGATCATATCAACATGTATTCGATACCAGATTGCAGATTGTGAGCTGTCTCTTAAAATATTCTTTTTCAAGGGTGGAGCACGACGTATCACGTTTGCAGCAAGACGGCAAGACGCAATAAACGATGGCTTCCATTACACAACGCTCCTTCCCAGGCGGGGTTAATGGGTACAATGCGATACGATACGATACGATATGATACAATACAATACAATCAATGTATTAGTGTCATAACGTGGGATAGGTTTGCCCCAAATATCCCTGTAGGAGGCTCAAGTATAAAACGCATGATAAGTTAATTCCCTTACAAGTACAATCTGACGAACATTTTGCGACCAGCCCGACCGCGCCCAATAAAATTCGAATTTCCTTATTTTTTTCAGTTTTGGGATATATAGGATAGCCGCTAAAGGCCAAAATCAGTTGGAGGTATGATTATATGATTTCGAAAACCCTCCTCCTTCAATTAGATAGTAAGAATCCAACTTACTGGAATAATCTGTTAACTAACAGGTGTAATGTTATTGTGTGAACTGCTGTGTTATTCTTTTTCGTTTTTATGTATTTTTGGTCCAAACTGTAATATTGTTATATACTTTCTTTTAATTTTAAAATTTTGTAACTGTAACATGTGTTTTGTAAATAAATGAGTATTAAAAAAAGCAAAAAAAAAATAGAAAAACAGGCTGATTAGGTTCTTAGTAGGTTCTTATTTGCAAAAGTTATTATAGTGATAGCATTCGGGAAACTGCAATAGTACTAATATGCTATAATTGAAAAGCATTTACAAAAATGTCAAGCCTTGTTGTCGAAACAAGTCCTGTATCATGGGCCTGACCATATTTACAGTTGTATGATCACGATGCAAACTTCAACTGGAAAAATACAGTATGCCTGCCTTGTTTACCAATCAATTCCATGCTGTACAGAACAAAACATGTTTGGCTATTTACAGCAAAGTTTTATGGAATGAATAATATTTTATTGGTAAGACTAAAAAGCAGTACACTACAAAAATTTTCACAATCAAAATCTAGAATTTGATCATCAGATCTGGAGTGTTTTTTTTATATAAGAACCTATTTTTCTTTGTCATATTTGGGTATTTATGTTTTGTTGGAAGCCCTAAGGATTTGTTTCAGTTTTAATTTTTGACCCCATTCGATCATCGCCGTGTAATTTCTTGGAGGGCCTATTGAGAACTTGATAGGCGTTTCCGAGTTATATTCTGATCCTTCAGTTCATGCGATAAGAATACAATCAGAAGGTTCAAAGTTACAATACCAACCGGATAAAGTATTAAAAACCAGGAGAATATTTGAATTGTAAGTTGAAATTATTAGCGGGGCCTAGCCGAAGGCTGGCACCGGTCATAAAATGCAAGGGATATATCGCTTACTAAGATATATCGCTGGCTCGTTACTTTTGGGAGTGTTCGCTGCGATATATCGGTGGTTCATTGAAATTGAAAAGCACGAGGTATGGAGGAGAGTCAAGAGAAAGATTATAGCTTTTCGGGAGCGACACGTTCCCCAGCCTTTACGATGTACTAGTTTATGAGCGAAAACTTGACAGTGAATATTTCGAGAGCCAAATTTACGAGCGATCGCTTAAGAGTGAACCTTCCATCGTGAAACTTATCGAGAAAATAAGTGACTTATCAAAGTTATCTACATTGAGTGAACCTTCCATCATAAACTTTATCGAGAATCAATGCGAACACTTATCAAAGCTAACTTTATATCATCTTAAAAAACGTGCTACAAGGCGATCTAGACGCCTTAACTAATGAAAAACCAAAAAAGACTGTTTCACATAACCTTTGTCACGCAATATTTACGTTAGCGACATGCGAAAACTCTCAACTTTTCAAAATGGGGGATTCCCTAACATTTTCTCTTTTCACATTATTCATTACACCTTGTTTTCATCTCTAAAGAATATTTGAAAAAAAAACAGATTTTTATGTCGCCCGACAAACTTGTTGATGAAAACGACCCTTCCACGTGGGTTGCCAAGACAAAAGTGGCCCCGGTAAAATTCACGAAGTGATTCTTGTTTTACATTCAAAGCCAGGTTCCTTCCCGGAAAACGAGTAACTTTCCCGCCACAGAAGCTATAAGAAATGTAGATTACAGGAGGTCGTCGATTTTAAACATGTAACTCTTATTATTTAAAGACCAACTTTCTTTCGTAGCAGTCTACGAAACCACTTGTGGTCGAAACCGCTCCGAACCACTAGTGGTCGGCGGAAACAATTAAAAAAGAGTGAGCGCACTTGTACATGTCAGCGTGACTAAGCAATTTTAGTTCAATCAGTTACCAATCCAGCATTCGCGACCCGCGCATCATTAAAATCTTTGAAAATCAAGCGAATGTATGCGTATTTGCCGTCGGCTTTGATCGCATTCCGTTTTAAACACCTATTTAAGATTACAGAATTAAAAAGAATCGACAGATAACCGTCGCGCGCTTTTTAAGGAATGTGGTGAACGTTTACGTTACTTACACGCTTTCACTTTTAGCCATTCTTCGGCTGGCAATCGAATATCCTCGTAATCAATCTTTGCAGCCGCAAATGCAAGTCGACATTTTTCTCCTGCGCCGCGGACTGGAAAGTAGAACAACTTGTAGCCAGACATTTCTGCAGAATGTTTCAGTCGATTCTTACTGTGAGTGGATGTACAACTTGAACAGCACTGCCGCTGAAGTTCAATGAACTGCTAACTCATTTGCTGACATTTTATATCACCTGTCAAGTGTTAAAATTAGAATTATGCAAATTTCACCAAGTCGCCGTGTCATGTTCCGCTAAGGCCACTCGAAGGAAGTACTACAATGTACTGTACGTGTAGGCAAATATTAAACGTGCAGGCAAATATTTTGCCGGAAATTTTGGTAGAGGGAAGGAGTGAGAGTTAAATATTCCATCTCAAAAATGTATCAGGATTATAGATTTATGAGCTGAGTTGCCAGAATGTTGAATCAATTTACCACCACAAACTAATTCAATTCAATTCAATTTAACTTTTGGCCATTTTCATATGCACTCGTGTTTCAAATGAACAATATGGCACTGGGTTCCTGGATGTAATAGTCTAAAATAATGATTCTATGAGTGTGTAATTTCCCTGTAAAATCCCCCCACAGACCCACACCCTCCTAAAATCTCCAGGTGAAAGAAAGATAATTTCAGAAAATAAGCATAACATCTGATATAACCCATTGGTTGATTATTAAATTCATCACTAATAGATGAGCATGGGACTTGGTGCGTAGAAAACTGATGGCAAGGATGTTTAGTTATCAAGGAAGGCACAAGGAGGTAACCATAGCAACCTTTCAACAGCAACCTCACAAGTGTCCTCCCCCCTTAATTGTCAGACTGATTTACTGCTCAAAATAATGAAACAAAAACCTGTCCTTGAAATGTGACCCTAACCTGTCCCAAGTTTTATGAGATTGTTTGACTCCTATTGCTGGAGTTGTAAGCTACTACTAAGATGTCGCGTTAAACAAAACCACTGCTCAATGGAATCTTGTGATGGAAGCTTTAAACCTTATCAATAAGTGGTTGTACAAACATGTGTCTAGGAATGACTTGCCAATTAAAGATCAAAACTTTACAATCCTTTGTATAGAAGTGATTTATTCCCGATCAGGGAAACCAGTCCCAAATGTAAAAATGCTAGTAAATTATTGTCATTTCCCAATGGCCTCTGTTTGTACAATGGTGGCACACACACACTGGACTAATTACGTGTCAATTTTTTTTTTTGAAAATCAAGGAATTACTTCCAATTTATCACATGACTGAAACACGTCAGACTACATGCATAAATTTTGAAAATTTCACCTAACTCACAATAATGAAGATCCCCAAAATAATTTTTTTCTTGATAAAAGCCAATCAAAATTTCTGGACATCTCAGACTACTTTCTAGCAACCCCACTTAAAATGCTTAAATATAATTTCTTAAGTTTCCACTGTTTCCCAGAAAAATTTTTATACACCCCAGAGATCATATCAATATTTGCAAAGATTTTGGAAATTTGAAAAGGTTTCAATCTAAAAACAATTGGACTCCAGACCTACAGACATGTTATATGGAAGTTATTTCAGTCATACAACAATTGGGTAATTAAATGATTGACGAGCATTTTTTATGATCTATAATATTAAAGTTCTGTTTTTTTGTTTAAGGAAATCTTGAGTGAATGGGGGTTGTGGAACAACAGCTGGGTGAAAAACCTCCCCGTACGTCCACTAGCTCCTAGGAGGAAAACCCCAGGCCAGCTGTACCCCACATTCAGGCCTCCCGGGCAGGGCCATAAATTTTTTAAATCATTTTTGCGATCAGGACTTAGAAAAGTATTATTGTTATTATTCATAAAGATACTAATGGTACTTAAGATCACAATTATTTGATTAAGACTTCTAGCCAATGCAATTATCACACACAATACAAACCAGGTGTTGCAAGACTCTCCACAATCCACAACCCCACTCTTGAACCAGGCACACAGGATGTCTCATACCACCTGCTGTCTAATCCATCCTCTCCATTGACACTCCTTGTACTAGGTGATGTCATCCAGCAGTCAGCTCTAGTTTGCCCTGTCCATTGCCCAGCCAACTGTCTTGTTTGCCCTCCAGTCTGCCCTCTCCATTATCCACTTGTTTTGTACTAGGTGTATGTTATGTCATCTAGCCAGTTGATTTGTTCTCATCTAGGGTCCAACACTACTCCACTGTCATTACTGCAAACCTCCATCAGTCTACCACTCTGGTAGTTGCTTCCTGTAAGCAAGAAAGAGATTTTTACATGACTATTTACATGTACAAATACACTCTATAATGCAGTGGTATTACCGGTATTATGCTTCTAAAGATAGATAAAATGCTAAGTCAAAAGCAAGGTGTACTGAAGAGTAATATAATCACAAATTCCGCAATATAATTGGCTAACATATTGACTATCTGTTGCTTAATTGATAGTGAGAATTGTACTGGCAATTTGTAGAAAAATAACAAAAAATTGCCATTACATCAAGAAAGGTCAGTCAGTCCATCAGTCCACCTATTAACCATTCAAAAAGTGAGCCAGTCAGTTCATAAATTTAACAGTTTGCCTGACAGTCAATCAACCATTCAAACAGTAAGCCTGTCTATTATCAATCAAGCCACTCAATTAATCAATCAAACATTATTTCATCAGTGAATCAACCATTCAAACAGTTACAGTACGGTTCAAAAGAAAGTTGACAGTCCGTTGCGAGTCTTGATTCTTGATGAAATTCACAATTCTCGATTCCTGCACAAATCGAGAATCAAGAATCAAGAACAAGCTATCGAGAATCGAGTTGAGGATCAACCCATGACTGATTTCTCAATAATTTTACAAAGACATACTGCTGTAACACAACACAGTATGGTTAAATTCACGCAAGCAACTGTATGCTCGGAAAAAGACCAATTCAAGCTGTAAAGTGAATGTTTCATCCAGGAAATCAGTCTGTATCAAGCTTCATTTCCTCCAGTAAAGTTTCAAATGCCTGCTCCAAATGCAAACAGTGTATATTCGTGTACAAGCCCCCGGGGGACAGTTCCCATATCAAAGGAGCGGGGATGCACGTCAGAAATTTTGAATTAAACCCCTAAAGGAGACCAACCCGGGCACGGGCCCACCTTTTTTTGACCCCTAAAAGAGATCACCTTTAGGAATTGATGTTATAAAAAACTTTGATTACATGAATTGAGTAAATAAAACGAACTGACAAAATATATTGTATCTTCACGTGCAACCCTAAAAGAGACCTTAACTGCTAAATAAAATGATGTTTTGCCCAGAACACCCTAAGTGAGACCAAAATCCAAAGTTTACACCCCTAAGGGAGACCACGAGCATCCCGGCCCCTGTCAAATGGGAGTCCCCCCAGGCAACCTGCCCAGATCACTGCTATAAAGTTTCTGAGTCCCACGAAGCAGTTGGTTTCCCAGGTCATTGTAGCTTTAGTTGTGGAACAGGGTGCCCTGATCATTGCTGCAGTCTTCCTACTGTGTCAACTCTGCCGATATGTCCTTCTGAATGCCACGCAAGCTGTCATGAATTATGCCCCATGCACTGTTGTAAAGTTCCTTCATTTTCCGTATCTCTTTGTCCAAGCCATTGCAAAGACTGCGTGTGATAGTCTGTGTCCCAGTCACTGCTGTTTACAACAGCTAACACAAGCCACTGTGCCGATGCAACTGACATGCAATCCAGTTTGTCAGTCACATTAAGGCCATTTATACGAGGAAAAATAAGACGCGAACTGCACCATTTATACAAGCATGTCTTATCTAAGACAAAAACAGCTCATATAAGTGGTTTGCGTCTTATTTCTGTTCTTGACTCATTTTTATGTGACTGTTGCCCATAGCAATGACAATCCAACATGGAACGTGTTTCAAAGTTACGGCATCATGTTTTCCCGCCAAAAATTAATGCATGAGTACTATGCATTCACGTCTTATGTAAGACACAAAGGTCATTTATACGAAGTTTTTATGTGGCCAATATTAATGTAATTTAGGCAAAGTTAACCTCGAAGCAATGCTGGTCAGCAGTTTCCCCAGCTATACTAGAAGTGGTCCAATGCCTCTAGCAGGGGCACCTCGTGACTTACATACGCAGTTGATTGCTTGCAGTTCTTCGCAAAGTGTTGTTGCAATAGCTTGCTGTTTGCGTGCTAGTTTGTGCTTTGGTTTTTGCTTGCTTGCCGTTTCTGATTGTACAATGACTACTCGTTGAACCAACAATAGTTTGGCTGCTAGTTCGGACAGGGAGAATTTGCCATCAGATACCCTTCTGCAGGCCGAGTTGTCTGTTCCTTCGTTGCCCGCTTCTGCGGCAAACTCGGTGCCACAATCATCTTCAACAGTTTCAGCCCCAGTTGTTGCTGCTAGTGTCGATGACCCCGCTCTAATCACCGTAATCGTCGATGCTGTTAAGGCTTCTTTAGCAGCAGAAAGAGGCCCTGGCTCTACCTCGAGCAATTTGCGTGGAAATTCAGTTAGCATGGAGCTACAAGCAGCTTTTGGGGGCATTCCTGCCCCATCACCCAGCTTGTCTCAGCAAACAGCGACCTTTTTAGCTTCTGGAGGTGCCTTTCCGGAGCAACAGGCAATATCTTTACCTTCAGCCACTCAAGGTACGCCTAATTTTACTGTGCCATCCTTTGTTGCCACTTTCACAACCCCACACTCGCTAACTTTAAGAACCTCAATCACGGCGGGCGTTTCTGTCCCGGTACCACTCAGCGACAGCTCCTTGGTTACCAGCCTGCCATCCGGACTGCTACTTCAACAGCCGTTTGTAGTTGGCCCCGGTTTTTCACCAATTCCGGTGAAAACGGTTAGCCAAATTGTCGCTGGCAAGTATGTGGATTCGGGGGAATTGCCATCAGTCAACATTCTTCAGACCAAGCCGGAGTCAGAAGCATTCCTGGACGTGCACTTAGTGTTTCTGCCAAGTACTAAAAAGCAACGCCGACGCACCGAGGACATCGTGACCTGGTCTGAAGCTTTTACAATTTTCATGCTGATTCTGACGTCGTATTTTCCACACTGCTGGAAAGATTTAACATCTTACAAGCTTCT